AGAGCACCTTTGTTTACTGGTGCTTGGATATTATATGAAAAATATAATCTGGAAGTTAAGCAAGTGAGATGATTCCTCCATTTTATTAAATAAAGGATTAACTCTTCATTTGCTGTAAAATGCAGGCCTATCTCCTGTGCAATCCATTTTTTTCCCCAGCTTTATAGGAAGGAGTCTAATATGCACACATAGCTACATACAGCCAAGAAGAAGGAAGTACTCTGTTTACTGAGACCTTAAAATAACGTTACAAACTAAGTTACTCCCACCACTGAAATAGTTTAAACCCAAGCAAACTTTAAAAGCTTAGCTTGTAGAATAATTTTTGTCTGGAGGAGAACTCCATCAATGAGGCTTGAGGTTGAGTGTTCTTTCATAAGAGAAATTGTCAGCCACAGGAAAGATAATTCACAGTGATATACTTGATAAGAATAATTTCTTCATTCCTCTGGCTGGAGAATGAAAATCTGAGTGCTTTACATTCAAGTGTCAGGTTGCTCTTGGACTGAAAATCCCAGTAATGTTAATGGGGTCTGTTCTCCATTTAAATGCGTTCTAGAAAACCCGTCATGTTGAGGAAAAAAAAGAAAAAATCAAAGTAAAGGAAGACTTGGCGGCAAAAAATGGAAAAATAGCAATAGTAGTATGTATTTGTAAAACAGTCTTAGAAAACCTAATTCTTCCATTCTTTGTGTTTGCTCCTGAGCCAAGACTCAAGAGGTTTTCCCCTGTGGCAAGTTCAAACTTTTCACATTAAAAGCTCAGAAAATGTGTGTTTCACTGGGACTGACAGGACTGGAGTTTAGTTGTGACTTGGGGACAGCTTGATGTGGAGGTTGGGGACAGAGGCTGGTCACTGTGTCTTCCACAGAGAGGATAGTTGCAATGGAAGGCGAGAAGCCAAAGACTTGTAATGCTGTTTTGTTTCCTTTGTCTAGAGGCAAAATATCATCTGTCTTTTTCTGCTGGCTACAGCTTGCAGCAGTGGATGTGGCTGTGTTCCCATTATCAAGGCGTTTGGGGTCTGGTGGGCGCCCACCTGCACTGCAGTGGGACCCCAGGCTTTCCTAGGAGTGGGTGGATGAGAGAAACAGTGCCATGGACTTTGTTTTGTGTCTGTGCTGCACAGAGCGAGCGCTGAACTTGGCTGTGTGGTCTCTTTTGTCACTTTAATTATGTGTGGGGAGAAGAAAAAGAAGCAGAGATGGGTACTTCTGCAGCATGTTGAACTTCAGGTTGCCAGAACATGTCATAAAAATGCCGAGCTAAGTCTCTTAGCTTTTCTTGTGGTAAACCATATATGGGGGTTGAGTGGGCTTGAAATACATTCTTTTATTTTTTTTTTAAATATTTTCACGTTTTAATGAGCCTTTGAGCAACCTGGCATAGCGGAATGTGTCCCTGCCCATTGATGGGTGGTTGGAACTGGCTGATCTTTAAGGTTCCTTCCAACCAAAACCATTTTGTGATTCTGTGATTTTCGTTCCATGGGTTTATGCATATTTATTTCAGATCTGCTGCTGCCCTGAATTTTGAACGTGCCTCTTGGTTTTTTTCACTGTCACTCCAGGACTCAAGCATGCCTTCAGAAAAGGGCACCTTCACCTGTGAGCAGGCTCTACATGAGCATGCTTTGGGGTGCCTTGGTAGATTTGCAGCTTCTCTGACATAGCCCTGTTCAACCTAGGACCCACAGATGGGGCTGTGTGTTAGGGAGAAACACATAAATGGCTCTTCAGCTTCACCTGCCTATGCATGTGGTCAAGTTGGTTGTGGGTACGGGATGCAGCAGCCACGTCTGGCATGGAAAACACTCTCAGCATGGCTGAGAAGCTGCAGCTTGTGCTACTGAGGTCAGCCTCAAAAACCTGGCTTTTTAGTCCTTCTGCTTTGTCATTAACTATGTGTTTAGCTCTGAGTGTATTAATTATTAGTCTGAGTCTATTAAATCAATCAGATCTGTGAAGGATGGGGCAGGGAGTAGATGTCACTCATTCCACTATTAAACATCTGCCCTGAAAAAAAAAATAAATAAACAAGCTACTAGCAAAATACAGGGCACAAATTTTTGTACTACTTTTGCAATTGCCTTTTAGTATTCCCCTACTCAGATTTTTTTTTTTTTCCCCAGGAATTTTATGCTGCTGTTGTGTGGGTTTGAAGCAGTGCCAGGGAGACAGCTCTCTGTGTGGCTCTGCCACTGTGTGCTTGTGCCTTAAATAGTTGAGTGCAATTCAATGTGGCGGTAAGAAAATGAGCAGCTAATGTTGTTCAAGTATTAATTGTACAAGAGTGTGTTTTCAGGGCCTCGACACAGCAATACTAAGAACATTTAATTAATGCTTTTGTGTGATTTCTCTGAATGGGTGGCAGGAGTCTGCTTGGGGACAGGCTGTAGTGGCTCGTGATTGCACGATGTCCTCAGCTTTCCTTCCATCTGAAGAACAGTGAGGATATCAGAGTATGTGGAAAGTCTGGTTAGTAACTCCCCTCAGACACAGCAAGTGGTCCTTGATTTCCTTCTGGCCTCCAGCTCTGCTGAAGTCAATGGCACTGGCAACCACTGTAGGGAATCAAGGTGAAATACTCTTGTTCTCCTCCCATGCAGTGACAGCAGAAATGAGAGACCTCACTATAAGAGGAAATGCTGTGTATGCCTGGGTGTTTTTTCTGTAGATCTATGTAAGGTGCACACTGTGCTGTCATCAGTACTTAAATTCTGTAGGCTGGCACAGGCATTGCAGAGATGTAAAACTGTCTGTAACTGTGCAAAATTACAAAAAATTCTACCAGTACTTTATGAAGACAGTTCTGCAGTGGTATGTTGTGTAACTGAAGGGGTAATCAGACTCTAATTAGAGCCTTTCTTTTAATATTGTTCAATGAGCTAAATCCTCCAAGCTTCTCATGGAACCTGTCTGAAGAATATGGTGCCCCAATATAAGCTGGGTAATTACTGAAATTCAAAAGCATTATGTCTTTAATTAGCAGAGGGAAAATATGTATTTTCAGTACATACAATGAAAGCACCATTCAGAAGGTCACCAAAACACATCCGTGTTTGGAATTATAAGAAAGCTGGATATGGCACTGAGTTTTAAGAACACATATGAGCTATTTAGAATAAGGGTAATCAACGTTTCAGGTCGTTCAGTTCATCTGGTCACAAATATATTATCTCCTCTAGAAGCTTTTCTCTCCCTGCTTTACAATATCACACTGTTGTCTGAATGCATTACAAAAGCTTTTGTGCATTTGGAAATGTAAATTGCTACCTTCTCTGCTGCCAGAGGTACTGTATACCATCAGCCAGGGGAGTCAGTGTGAAGCCATACTTTTGGGGATCTGTCATGTTGCCTTCTTGCTTGTGCCAGGGACATGAAATGCTTTTCTGAAGCCACAGCTGGGGCAGGATGGGGAGAACAAGTGGTGTGTGGGTTTCTCCGATTGCTAAGTCTGGAGCCTTTTAATCTTGCTGGCTCCTTCCCTTACAAAACCGGATTGCACTCAAATGCATTGTCTCTGGTCTCTAGAGCCCTGACAGCCACATGTTGAAAACATTTGCCTTTAACCTTAACCTGTTATAAGGTAGAAAGGCGCCTGAATCAAAGCCCAGGTAAAAAAGTCTGTTGGAGTTTGGAAACACTCGTTATGGGAGCTGCAGTTGGCTCCAGCTGTATGCCTCTCTGGACAGGGATATGTAGATCCTCATGTCTAGCCAGAGCATTTGCAGCCCTAGCCTGAAATTGTTCTTCCTCTGAGCCTGCAGTTTCCCATCCACATGAACAAGACTTTTGAATGCAAAGAGTTTTGCAACGCCAGCACCGGAGGACACTCAGCAAGTGTCTCTGTCTGGGAGGGGCTGGAGTGAACTCTGGGCAGCAAAACCAAAGCAGGCGTGCGCACCTTCGCATCCTGTCTCACTTCCCTGAACAGAGATCTCTCAGCTGTCAAAGCCGTCCTGGATTGCTGGCAAGTTCTCACTTCTCCCTCTGATATTTCATGAGGCCTGTCTTCTCTCACACCTTCGGGGAAGAGGCCCCATGGAACCAGCAAACCACAGAGGCTGTTGGGTTCCCACCATGCTAGAGGAAATCAGGGTCTGTGCCACAACTGGAGGAGGTTTTTGGAGGTTTTCTTGCTGGGGGTTGTTAGGTATAGAAACTAGTACTGAGTATTTAGGAATTAATAGGTGCACTTCATTTATTTGTTCCACCTGAAAGGGGCTTTGTCCAAAGGGACACAGTCTCTTGAGCAGCATTATGATGCACGGTGAATAATTCACATTAAAATATCCAACAAGTTCTGGGGTTGGGCTTTTAAAGTCGTGCTTACATATTTTTGTCTCGTTAACACTGTGAATCTTTGGAATCTTATTTATAAGTGCTACAGTGTTTCCAGTGTTTTTTTCCAACTCTTACTAAAGTGTGTTTCTCCAAGACAAAGGACAGGACTCTACGACCATCCACGGACATGCTTCATTTGACTCTCCTAAGTTTTCTTTTCACATCATAAGTTAATATTCTCCTATTTTAGGTAGGGATCTCTGTTTTACAGGATTTGGGCAAAATATATGAAGATGTGTATTATATAAAGTTTCTCCCTGGATTTTTTTTCTATACATAAAGCTGTATCAGTTATATTTCACTTAATGTGTATTTCATTTTGCTCTATGAAACTAGTCCAAGGTTGCTGCTGACAAGGTAGAGTCCAGGGGGCTCATTATGTCCCATGTGTTGGGCTTTTTTTTTCTTATTTCTGACAGATTTTTCTAAAGTTAAAATTTATCTGTATTTTGTTCAGCTTGTCTGCATATTATCCAGTGTATATATCAGAGGAAAGGTTTATATATATATATATATATAAATGTTCACATACCAAAGTAAATTAATAAATCTTCCTTTTCTTATGAAAGAGGTAAAGAAAAGTACCTGGCCAATACAGTACCATTAATCTATTCTCTTTTCTCCTTTCTCTCTTTACCTCTCTCTCTACAATAGAAGTGGAACAAAAAGGTAATTAAATACCTTTCAAATTATATATATATTACTTATGTATAGGCTAAGTTATTTAACAGTTTAACGTTTTAGTTGAAATACTTTGTCATTAATTCTCACTACCTTTTTGTTAAAGTTTATTTAGTATCTCTGCTGCTCAACTTCACCAGATAACTCATATTTGCTGAAAAGTTTTTACCAGTGCCACCTTTAATTTATTTTTTTTAAATTAAATTTCTATTCAAAGGCTTAGATAACTCATTTTCCTGCCCCAAAGAATTTGGAAGGTGTGCATACATATGTATGTGCATAAGTATATCTAATGATGGCATAAAAGCCTCTTGGAAATGGCACCCCTTTTTCAGCAACTCTGGTTACTTAGGCTCCAATGGATCTATATAATTTTATACTGGTTATTAAATCTGATTTTCCTCCTGTCTTGCTCTCCAGACAACATTACCAATTTCTGCATTTACAAAAAATAATCAATTACGCTCCGAGCAGGAAGTGTGAATGTGGGATCCCATCTTGCCAGCCCTGTGCTGCCAGAAGCATGCGGTGGGATACTTCTTCATGCCTCCCTGCCGCCCATCCCATCGTCACGGTTACTGTGACTCTCGCGGATCGCGGAGATCAGCGCTCCAAATAACCAACCAATATTCTCCCCCCGAAGCGTGTGCGGCGCCTCCGCGCCAGGAGGGTGCTGATGGGGATGGCGAGGGCCAGATTTGCTCCGCAGCATCCCTCCTCTTGCCTCCCCACCCACCCATCCACCCATCCATCCATCCGTCCGTCCATCCCTGCAGCTGGCTGGCCCCTCGGTGGTGGTGTTCCCGCGGGGCCGAGGTCAGCCGGGCAGCAGCTGAGCCTTTTCCCAGGTCCTGGGTGTGCCCCAGTCAGCCCCCCCCGAAGTCTGAGCAGCAAAGCATCCCAGTTAGTCAAACTGCTCCTCTGTGCTCCTCTCATGTAACAATAGAAGGTATATGTTTTTAAGTTTGAATTACTACTATATTTAACAGGACATTTTTTAACTGATTAAAATCTAGACATTGGGTTCCTCTCCAGCAAACTTTATTCTTTTCCTTCCTTCTTTCCTTTCTTCCTTGTCTTTTCCTTTCAGCATCCATATGTCATTCGTTTTTAATTGTGTGGACTGCATGTTTCATGTGTCCTGTAGCAGCTTGGAAAGTCTCATTTCTAGTTATGCTCCAGATGGGTGTTCCCCCCCTCCACTCCCTTTGCTTTAAACGCTCTTCTGAGTTGCTAAGGGATTCGCCTCTGCTTTGCTATTGGTATCCCTTAAATATTTAATATCACTTGGGCTGTAAGGATGGGAATTTCTTTCTCTTATTTCCATTTCTAGGCCACTCTTCTGTGGGCTGTTCAAATAAATATGTGGATCAATTCCCTCGGAGTTTAGCCCTTCACCTAGTAGGTACAGATTCACTGCAGAATATAATTTGGAAATACAAACCCAGAAATCCTTTGGGGGCACATATTCATTTCAGAGTTTACAAAAGCGAGTGGTCCAAGTAAGTATACCTGTAAAAACGGATTTGAAAAGCAATAAGAAAAGGAGTCACAGCTTATAGAAAAAGCAGGGGGGGGAAAGAAAACCCAGTTTGGTGGAGCAGATCTTGTTCCAGAGATGTGGTGGGCAGGAAGGATAGTCTCCAGCTACAAGGCATTGCTCTTGGGTTTCTTCTCATCTCAAGTGTCCTCTGCTCTGGGACTAGAAGCTGTTGAGATGCTTGGGCCAACCAACCCTGAACTGCCATTAACTTTTTATTTTTTTTTTTTTCTTCTAAATTCTTTTCCCCTACGACAGTTTTTCTTTGCCCTGGACTGCTAAAAGGAGTTTACCAGAGCGAACACTTATTCGAGTCTGACCACCAGTCGGGCGCCTGGTGCAAGGACCCTCTGCAGGCCTCTGACAAGATCTACTACATGCCCTGGACGCCGTACCGGACAGACACGCTGACAGAATACTCCTCCAAGGACGACTTCATCGCCGGGAGGCCCACCACGACCTACAAACTCCCGCACCGGGTGGACGGCACGGGGTTCGTGGTGTACGACGGGGCCTTGTTCTTCAACAAGGAGCGGACCAGGAACATCGTCAAGTTTGACTTGCGGACGAGGATAAAGAGCGGGGAGGCGATCATAGCTAACGCCAACTACCACGACACCTCGCCCTACCGCTGGGGAGGCAAGTCCGACATAGACCTGGCCGTGGACGAGAACGGGCTCTGGGTAATCTATGCAACAGAACAGAACAATGGCAAAATAGTCATTAGCCAGTTGAACCCTTACACGCTAAGGATCGAAGGGACGTGGGATACTGCCTACGACAAGAGGTCAGCTTCCAATGCCTTCATGATCTGTGGGATTTTATACGTGGTGAAGTCCGTGTACGAAGATGACGACAACGAAGCCACAGGGAATAAAATAGACTACATATATAACACTGACCAAAGCAAGGATAGCATGGTGGATGTGCCCTTTCCAAACTCCTACCAGTACATTGCTGCTGTGGATTATAACCCCCGGGACAACCTCCTGTATGTATGGAACAATTATCATGTTGTAAAATACTCTTTGGATTTTGGCCCGCTGGACAGCAGAGCAGGTAAGGGGTTTAATACCAAACCAAAAATTTTTTTTTTTTTTTTTTTTCTTTAAACATTTTATTTTTGTGAATATTTGAAGTACACTCCTGTCTTAATGAGCTGGCTGAGTTTCTGCAAATAAAGCCCCACCATAGACCTATAATGGTTATTAAGACATGAATATGTACAGAATTTTCTTTTTTTTGTCTTAGTTGAAATGAAGTGGACAAAGGTGTATCTACACATAAGTGGCCTGAAACAGTTTCCAAATGCCCATGCTTTTATTCACAGGGGTAGCAGTATTTTCTCCTGAATCGAATTTCTTTCGTACATCACCTGATCATTTTCCCTTATGCAGGAATTGTGACAAAACAAAGCGTGGAAGATGATGTTGTTACAAACAGCTGGAGGAAAACTGCCTGCCAGTTTAAATTACTTTCTTTCATTAAGCTGGTGGAGTTTTGTCTTTTTGGAGAAGCTGAGACTAATTGAATATGTGATCATGCACCCACAAATGTGTGTCTGGAGTCAGAAGGAGAATCAACAAAATCTTCTAAATTCTTGCTTTATTCTATAAAGTTTTTATTTCTGTTTTAAAGCATTTCATGACTTACTGTGACTTACTATACTTTATCTTAGAGGATCATCTGGCCCCCAGAGGTTTCCCAGATTTTCCATCTTTCTTCCTGTTAGAAATTGTGCTGTTAGTTACTTAGGTATATTTTCCCTTAACTTTATCAACTCCATCATCATTTTGCAATTAAAAAGTTGCCACTTCACTAGTAACAAGACTTAGCCTACGCTGTGGTCAAGCTTGAATGATGTTGCAAGAATTTCCAAACAGGATTTGCTCAGTCATTTTAAATGTTTTTTACTGTACTGATGTAGTCACAGTGTCAGGTAGTTCTTGTGGTGGACTGCGTACATTGAAAGGCTGAAAAAGTAAGAAACAAGGCAGAATTAATATAATTGGATAGTAAAGCGTTCAACTCATAACATGGCTTTTTCTGAAACATTTCTTTTTGTAGGTAAGAAACTTGAAAGTGGGTGAGTGGATTCAGGGCTTTAGATTGTAAAAGAGAAGTGAAAAGGTTTCTGTTGCTGAGATTTTCTTTTCCTATGTGCAGCCTGTTACCCATATATAATGAAAATGCATCAAGAAATGCTGAAAGAAATTGTGGGTATAAAAATCTGAGGAGGGCTGGAATAAAAGTAGTAAACTGGCAGTGAAATTGTGGCTTTTTTACAAAGATGTAAGGAAGGGGAGAAGAAAATCTTGAAGAAGCAGATGAACAAGAACTGAGTGACTGTTAAGGAGTAGAGATATTTTCAATGATGTTGACCTCTGTAAGATCTCAGATGAGTAAAAAATGAAGTAATACTTCTCATTCTCCTAACTTAATGATGAGCATGTACTTTCTGGGTGGTGGAGTGAAGCAGAGCAATTTGTGAGCTATTGGCTATCCCCAAGGAGTGGAAATCAATTGCATCCCTTCCATTTCAAAGAGTTTCTCTCCTTTTTAGTGAATTATTTCCAGGTATTATAACGGGCTCTTTGCTGGCACTTTTTCATGTGGTGACTGTTGCCAGTAATAGCATCTTTAATACAAAAAAAAAAATAAAAAAATAAAAAGCTTTAATCAGTGAAAAACCTAAAAACGGGAGAAAATCCTGTTAAAAAAGGAAATTGTTCTCCTTTTTTCTCAGTGGAAGATAGTGAAATGGGAGAGTAGCTGAAAACCTTGCAGGGGGCTGAAAGTCTGTGAGGTGTAAAGATTTGGTTTATCTTTGTGTCACTCTGGTTTGAAGCCCCTTTAGTTTCATTTTGGTTTGGATGAGAATTTAGAATTCAAATCCCCCAGTGCCTCAGATAGGAAGCTGAAGCAGTTCTTAGTTTTGAATGGTGGGCATGAGAGAGTTAATATGGTGTCAGGGGATCTGGTGAGCCTTCTCTGACATTCCCTGTGTGCAAATTTTGTATAAAGATTTGTAATATGGACAAAAGGCTGCATTTTACCCGTGATTTTCTTTGAAAATTATTGGGATTTCCTTTCTGGCAAAATTTCATAAGGATCCCATTACCTCACTATTTTACAAGTTTAGAGGACTTTTGAGAGGTCTGCTCTGACAGCAGCTGAATTTTTTTAATGAGAAAACGTGAATGGGTCAAGATATTTCAGAGAGAAAAGAAAAAACTTCACTAAGGGAGTTTACTGCTCCATTACCCACACAGCCTGATTAGTTGGAACAATTTTTGATGAATCAGTGAAACAGAAGCACTGATTTTGAGTTGAACAGGTGAGCAAATAGTTGCTTGACATCAGGCTTTTTTGCAGAGAGGAGCCAGGAGACCAGGTCTGCATGATGCTTTCTCTTCCAAGTTCAGCGCAACCCATTTTCAGGTTAGCACCAAATTTCATGCTGCATTGCTTTACATGTAGCACTAAATATCTGGTTGGCTTAAACCCAGCTCCTCCACCCAAGGGCAGGAACAGAAGTGGATACAACCCTGGGAAAGCAGTGAAGAACCAGGATTTTTTGATTTTTTTTTTAATTTTTTTTTTTTGTCCCAGAATGGATTGTGGATATGTGCTTCTCTCCATAAATCACCAGTGTTTCTCTGTATCAGAGCCATATTCAATGCAGGCATTTTCCATGATGTTACAATTTGAGTAGCAAAATTTGTAAACAGTATCAGCTTAATTAGAAAATAAAAGAAGGATTGTAAAATTGATGGGTTGAACATATGGGTTGTTAAAAAACAATTAAGGGTGACGTTTCAGAAGAGCTCTTAAAACCAAAAATTGATCATAACAAGAAAAGTGAAATATTTAACTACTTGAATAGCCAGTAACATATTTAAAATCTCTTGCATCATGCATTTCAGGGATATCTGAAATAAAATGCAGGTTCTGGGGATTGCAGTTCACCTAGAATCAAGCATTATTCAGTCTTTTCCCAAACTGTCCAGAAAAACTGGGAGTTGGCAGGAGTTGCTTAATTTATAGGAAAGGCAGGACTCACATCCTCTTGCTGTTCACAATGTCTGGGCATTTTCTGTGATTTTTGATTAAAAATCTGTGCATGTAGCTTTGGAACACATTTGAGATCTTTGCTTTTGCAGAGCATCTCTCACCTACCGTTTCAAAAACTGGGCTTTTACTCCTTTGGAGAGAGTGAGTATCAAATCCTGGTGTTTCTGTGCTCAGCTTCTGCAGCAGTTGAAGTTACCACGGAAAACAAAATATTTTGAAGTGCTAAAAGCTGTGTTTAGCTGATCTAGATGCAATTCAAGGCTCTTGATGGAATTAAACCCAACTGTTCGTTTTTCTCAGAAATGAGAAAAGCTGCATTTTAAGGTTTTGCCCCGCTCTTTTTTATTTTTTCCCTTTGTCTGGGATTGTTTTTCATTTATCCCAAAAGTGATTTTGAAAGCCAACACTCATCAGTGCCTGCAAGTCCCAAGAAACCTATCATTAATGTCTGCCCTCAAGAAGTGAACTTGAAGACAGCAAAAGCCTTTGAAGTGTATTTTCTTTGAGCTGTTTGGCCTTAAAATGAGTTTTTTGGAGGATGCTTCTTCATAAATGCTCCTGAGTTTTTGGGTTATTTCTTTGTAGCTTCTATTGAGTTTTTGAATTTGAAGTGTTAGTAAGGATAGCTCTGCATCTCTTCTCATTCTTCAAGAAGTTAAACACAGAACAGTATTCAGGTTACTTTTTTTTTATATGCATACTAGACGTATGCAGAGAGGGAAACAGAAGATTGTAATGACGGGATGAAAATTTCCTGCAACCCAATCAGTTGATATTCACTAGAGTTACCTGTTTTAATCACCACTCACTTATGATACGTTCTGTGCAAATAAACTCAAGAAAACATCAACAAACCTTCCTCTCCAAAAAGGTGAAGTGCTCCCATCCTGCTTCCCGGCACTGTGCTGCATACAAACGCACACCTCCTGATTCTGTACCTCAGAACCTCCCTGAGCAGGCACAGCTCCTGCCTGGACACCAGCCAGGGGTTCCTGGGCATCACAGAGACCTCAAGTTCTGTCTTTTGTTTAAAACATACATTTGTATGAGGTGCCCCAGTGCTGGCAGCTCTTGCCAGGGCTCGGGATACCCTGACTGAGCATTTGGGTGCTTAGGTGGGGATTGGAGCCTGTCCCGCAGTAGAGAAGTGCAGGGAAGAACTTGAACCAAGTGAAGGATCCCTTGGTACGTATTTTGGCCTTGGATGTGCTGGCAGCCTTTCCCAGTGACATGGGAAACACAGACCTCCTGTTTCCAAGAAGGTGTTTTAAATTATGTCCAGGAGACCCAAACATTACCATATGGGCTGTTCCATGGATGTGTGAAGCTAATAAATAAATATGCCCAGTACATAAGGGAGATGCTGATACGATATGTAGGACTTCTGACGCAGCCTAAATGTGCTTAAGTGGCTTCCACACATTTCATATTAACACTGTGGACAGCCATTCTGGTAATCCCATGTGATACAGAATTACGTGGATATCAGTGGTATTTTAAGAACCTCAGAGGGTGCACATCAAACTTTTATCTTCCTCATTTTGTCAAATATTGTAGGATGCTCTCTTGACGTGATTACAAGTATTTTATTCAGCCAGAATATTTGGGTGGTTTTGAGTTTTTTCTTCCTGAAGCAGTTTCACAATGCAGATAAGGTGAACCGTCTGTCCTTATAATATGCTAATTAAGTGTGTTTGTGTCTTGGGTAAAAGATGTGGCAGTATGGTGATGAATAAGGACTTTAAACACATATGACACCTCGTTAAAATGTAATTTTCACATCATAAATCTGAGGCCTTTCCTTGGACAGCTGAGCAATGTGGGCAGTGGGCAGAGGAACTTGAATGCTCGGAGGCCTTCACATGCTCACAGGGAGCTGGGAGCTGCTTCCTGCGCTGCTCGCCTTCGACGCCCGGCTTCCTTGCCCAGGAACGCACCAAAAGGGCTGTGGAATCTGAAATCCCACTTGTGCACAGGATATGAAC